ACTTGGGCACGTGGGGGTCGACGCTCTGCAGCATCACCCACATGGTGAGGGCGAAGAGCCCGGCCAGGAACCCGTAAAACACCAGGTAAAACAGCAGGATCAGCCCTGGAGGGGGAAATTTGGGGGGTCAGGAACCCCAAAAAATGAATCCCCCGTGAGGAAAAACCCCCTGGGATCGGAAATCCCAAAAATCCCGCCCAAAATGAGTGAAAAATCCCCAAAATTCTACCCAAAATGGGTGAAAAATCCCAAAAATCCCACCCAAAATGAGTGAAAAATCCCCAAAATCGGGAATAAATCCCACAAAAAATATTGTTGGAGGAGCAGGATCAGTCCTGGAGGGGAAATTTGGGGTCAGGAACCCCAAAAAATGAATCCCCCGTGAGGAAAAACCCCCTGGGATCGGAAATCCCAAAAATCCCGCCCAAAATGAGTGAAAAATCCCCAAAATTCTACCCAAAATGGGTGAAAAATCCCAAAAATCCCACCCAAAATGAGTGAAAAATCCCCAAAATCGGGAATAAATCCCCCCAAAAAATTCAAGTTGGCGGAGTAGGATCAGTCCTGGAGGGGAAATTTGGGGGGTCAGGAACCCCAAAAAATGAATCCCCCGTGAGGAAAAACCCCCTGGGATCGGAAATCCCAAAAATCCCGCCCAAAATGAGTGAAAAATCCCCAAAATTCTACCCAAAATGGGTGAAAAATCCCAAAAATCCCACCCAAAATGAGTGAAAAATCCCCAAAATCGGGAATAAATCTCCCCAAAAAATAATGTTGGAGGAGCAGGATCAGTCCTGGGGGGAAATTTGGGGGGTCAGGAACCCCAAAAAATGAATCCCCCGTAGGGAAAAACCCCCTGGGGTCGGAAATCCCAAAAATCCCGCCCAAAATGGGTTTAAAATCCCCAAAATCCCACCCAAAATGAGTTAAAAATCCCTAAAACTGAGGAAAATCCAAAAAAAATTCAATTTAGAAGAGCAGGATCGGCTCTGAGGGGGCTGAATTTGGGGGTCGGGACCCCAAAAACTCCCCCCAGACCCCTCCAAAATTGCCCCAATTTCACCAATAACCCAAAAATCTGCCCCGAAACCCCCAAAATCCCCCCGAAAATCGCCCCAATGGCATCAAATTCCCCCCAAATGTTCCCAAAAATCTGCCCGGAACCTCCCAAAATACCCGAAAATTGCCTCAGTGACATCAATAATCCCCAAAAACTGCCCCAAATACCCCAAAAATCGCCCTAAAATCCCTGAAAATGTCCCTGAAAATGTCCCCGAAACTTCTCTGATCCCATCAAAACCCCTCAAAATGCCCCAAAAATCCCAAATATCCACCCCAAAGTGATCGGACGACATCAAAAAACACCAAAATTGCCATGGAACCGCCAAATACACCCCGAAACTCCCCCAAAAAACCCCCAAAACCGCCAAAAACTGCCCCCAAAAACTTCAAAAAAACCCAAAAACTGCCCCGAACCCTTAAAATTCTCATTCATTTATCCCAAAAAAGTCAAATATCCCCAAAACCGCCCCAAATACTTCCCAAATTTGCCCTGAGCGCCCCAAATTCTCACGGATCAACTTCATTAATAAAAATTCCCCAAATGCCCCCCAAAATTGCCCCAAATCCCCCCAAAATTGCCCCGATCCCACCCAAATCCTCCCAAATTTACCCCAAACTCCTCAAAAACTCATTAATTTACCCCATAAACCTCAAATTCCCCAAAACCTGCCCCAAATACCCCCAAAATT